AATCGACGTTTGCCAATGCTGGAGCTTCCATCAATTAAAAACAACAGGTCAACTTTGCAGTTTGGATCTCCCTGGGATACTGGCTCCAAAGACTGTGTGCTTAATTCTTCTTTTGGAACAAATCCTGGTCAGACAACGGCTTTCTCAGGCAGAACCAACTCCATGATTTTGTAATTTAAACATTGTAATAGTGAATTACTCAACAGAGATATCACCACATTAGCAATGGCTGCCACAGTCACTGTGATGCTGGTGCTAAAATCTCATGGATGAACTCAATCGTAACTAAAGAAATCTGAGGTGTAATACCAAGCAGCAAAGCATTAACCACTCATCTTCATACAGAAGCCTTATGTAAAAGCTGATCTTAATCTCCTTTTTAAAGGATAAGCTACATAGAAAATGGATTTTCCTCTGGCTGTGTGAATCCTACACATCTTTTAAGTTTAATTCTTCATCTCTTCAGCCTCTTGAAGCAGAAAAGTCCTAAAATGATTACACTGGACACTAAATATTTGCTGAGAGATTAATTCATGCTTTTGGGCTCCCAAAACAATGGCAGTGGTTTTATGATTTTCTTAGGTATCAAAACCACTGGGAGGTTTTTCTTAGGTACTGGGAGGTCTAGAGCAGAGTTACTTCTGAGTTGAAAAATATTTAGGACAATGAAGGAGAAAGACAGCATTTAAATTCCTGAGAATATCTTTCACGTGACATAGAAAATTAAAATGAAAGAATTTCCAAAGAGAAAAAAATTATGCATAAAATGCTACTTCCACATTTATAACAGAACATGGAGAAAACTGCTGCCTGGACTACCCCAGGGAAAGGAGTTATAGCTGCTGACTACAAAGAGGAAATTCAAGTTTTACTATTCCCACAGTAGATACCACCAACTGTACTATAAGTGTTGGTTGGTGTAAAAATATCATGCAGCACTACAAATCAAAGCTATAAAATGTTCACATCCCTTTATCTAAATATTTCCACATCTAGAAATCTAGCTTAAGGAAATAATGCAGATAATTTTAGGCGTACTTCATAGCATTATTTTTAAGAGTAAAAAATTGGAGATAACCTAACTGTCCAATCTTAGGAGACTTCTTTCAATTCTTTTGGGAGTATACCCTGAAGCAGAATTGCTGGATCATATAGTAATTTAGTGCCTAATTTTTTGAGGAACTTGTCTTTTATTATTAATTATAAAGTTGCTTCTCTAGAGAACCGTAATAACTTCGTATAGCATACATTATACGAAGTTATACGAGGTCAAGTAAGCAATGGCATATCTCTACAGGGGGTACACAGTCAATAAAAAAAAATGTTTACAATGACTTTTTTAGGGACCTGGGAAATGTATCTGTTGCTGTATTAAGAGAATAAAGAGTTCAAATTACATAGAATACAATCAACTATTAAAAAATATAACTATATAAATGACTAGAAGGAATCTGTCAAAATTTCAACAGTTGTTGCCAGTAAATAATGAGACTGGATAATATTTTTTCCTTGTTGTGTATCTGCCAACTTCCATATTTTCTAATGAGCATGAATTATTTTGATAATCAAGGAAAAAAGGAAAAAATTTGTGATGCATTTGAGAATAAATGAAAGAGTAGACAAAATTCATATCCTTTTCTTTAACCAAACTACAAATGAAGGAATATGGTAAACTATTTCTCCTTTATTTCTTTTTAATAGGTCTGAACATTAAACTGGAAAAGTATTTGTGAACATTTTTTATTATGTTTTGTGACCAAATGTTCATTTAATCCCTCTTACGTTAACTCATTCTTATACTTGGCTGATGAATTTCTTGGTCTTTTCTTTATATGTGGATATGTATGCACAAATGTGTACTCAAGAAAAGGAGCCTTTAAAAAAAAAAAAAAGAAAATTTGTATCAGGTTAATTTGTATTCTTAGGAGGCAGAAGTGGGATTTAAGTTGTTATCCAATGACTTAGATTAATATCTGAATTATAGTCCTCATTCTAAATTTGTTTCTTTCCCCCACCCCCATCTGTGACATAAAAAAAGGAACCAAAAATACTTTAATAGCCAAATAGCTTAAATGATTAATTGCAAATAAAATGTTTTCAAATTGATGGGACTGAAATCAACACAATTCAATATTTACTGAGCACTTACCTGAGCTAGGTATTGTGTCCAAAGTGCTTATAGTCTAGGAGGGAGACAGAAGTAAGCAAGTGCTTACATGTCCACCACGACAGAGGAATACACAGAGGAGGGGGATACAATCCAGTCAAGGGTTCAGGGATGATTTCTGGAGGAGACGGTATCTGAGCAGAGCTAAGACTACAATTTTCTTCTCCCTCGTTCCCTACTGTCACATATTTTTAATACATTCTTTATTTATAGAAAGTAAATAAAGGTCAACTCCAGATTCACTTAGATCCTGTGATAAGAAATTCCCAATTAGGATGAGTGTTTTGTCTGTGTGCTTTCATAACACCCTGTGTTAACCCTAAATTATTCCATTGTAGTATAAGTGTCTGTTCCCCCATTAGCTTGGGAATTTCTTGAAAGCAGGCAGTATCTTGCTTACCATAGAAATCTCCAGCACACAGCACAGTATCTGAAATAAGGCAGGCTCAAAAAGGTATAGTTACTGTTCAATACATACTAGTAGTCCTTATTCCTCCACTTACAAACTCATCTTTTGACTCTTTACCTTTCTTTAGTATAACTTCCAAATTCCAGAAATTTTTATAAGATAAAAACTCTTTATCTACATATATGTTCAGTTGTCTGTAATTATTAGTGAATATAGTGAGATCAAAAGGACACCTGGTATGTTTTATTGCTAACAGTTCTGTATAGTTGGTTAGTGTTTTGAACTAAACGTTTATGTACCCCCAAAATTAATGTTGCATACACTAACCCCAATGTGATGAGATTAATGCCTTTATAGGAAGAGACACTGAGAGCATGCTCTCTCTCTCCTTGCACACATAAAGATGAGGTCATGTGAGCACACAGCAAGATGGTGGCTGCCTACAAGTCAAGAGAAAATGAAATCTACCTTGCCAGTACTTTGATCCTGTACTTCCCAGCCCCCAGAACTGTGAGAAATAAATTTCTGTCATTTAAGCCATCCATTCTATGGTATTTTGTTATGGCAGTTCAAGCAGACTAAAACAGATTTTGGTTCTGAGAAATGGGGTGATAAGCTTTTAATGACAATTATGATTGCTGGTGGTAAGTCAGTGGTCTAGTTCATTTTGGATTTCTTATTAGAAGGCATCATAAGATATGGCTAATAAAATATGCTTTGATTAGATTAACAGTTATACAAATATAAGGTCATTTGAATTTTAAAAACTCCAATATTTAGTAATAATACTATAACAAGAATCACAAGTTATGGCAATTAAGGATCCTTTTCAGCTAAGAGAGACAATCCCATTCTAGAGTCAATAGTTAGTCTAACTTACTTTGTTTTTGCCTCCTTTAATAAAGAAGGGTCATCCGTGGCCAAATATACTCTTTTTTTGTCCACTTGCATTCTGCGTGAGAGAAGCTGAAAATGTTCTTCAACATGCACCATGTACTCCTCAATGGGATGGAAGGCTGCTTCTGTTCCCACTTTGTCTGTGCGTCTGACATGGACTCTGGGGGAGATATTCAGATTCTGCTGATAATATCCCAATCCACAAGGTGCTTTGTGGGTACTCAATTTATACCCCTACTCATGGTGGCATTATGGGTACTTTTAGCCAATTTTTCTTTCATTTTCACCATTTGAAAAAAATAAAACAAATATTTAAAAACCTTGAACATATTTTCTAACTATATTTTCAGATTAAACAATACAAGAGGAATTAGAAAATAAGTAAAATCTTAGAAGAATGCTTTCTTATAGAGAAAGTCACTGGCATATCAAGAATAAAACTCCATAGTTATACTTCATACTATGCAGCAAAATACCAATGAGAAAAAAACAGGTATAACTTCTAAGATTTTTAAGAACAAAATGATAACCAGGATTCACAGTTGTTACTACAGAACATGAAAGATATTGTTTGTAATGTTCTGATACTATAGTTTTTTGTTTTTTTCTTTTCATTTTACCCTGTAGAGTTACTATAACTGTCAGCTTGTAGAATTTAAAGTTGAAAAAAAAAAAAAAAAAAAACCCACAGACTCATCAACTTTTCCTATAGCACAGTTAAGACAGGCAAACCTTTTAAGGGTTTTTACTATTTCAAGTTCATGGAACCATTCCAGCCCTTTTGTTGTGTGCATAATAAATTTCCTTTCTCCGTTTTTCACTCTATCAAAAGCAAGCAGATACAGATATCTCACTGTTCTATTTAAGAAAAGCCCCAAAATAGTAAAATTGGGGACACAGATTTACATTTAGATTTATTTGCACTAAATAAGGCCTTGACTTCCATAGTATTCTCCTCCCATCTTAGTGCTCCCAAAGTAATTTTAAAGGTAATAAAGAATAATAAGAGTCATAGTTTGTTTTCAAAAATTAAAGACTCTCCTTAAATCTCTCCCTCCCCCTCAAAATAGGAAAAAGGTAGATTTACTTCCCTTTAGGTCGCAGTATATGGGTATTTCTTAGGCCAAGCCTAAGGCCAGCTTTTTATTATGAATTAGGAGTAAGGGTTTGATTTCAGTGGAGTTACACTGCCATCTTCATGGCTATTTTTTCCATTGCACTCCATACTACATTCCAGATGTGAATACTATCATATGAATATCTATCCTATCATCTTTTCCTTCCCACATCCTTCTTAATCACCGCTTCTCTTGACAAATTAGAATTATTCAGTGTGGTCTATAGAAATGAAGTGGGGCAAAAAGAACAATTGCACTGAATTTCAATGAAAAGTTTCATGAGAAGAAACACTATTTGATATTCTGATTTCACATGTACTTACATTAGCTCTGAAGTCAGTAAATTCTCTACGTATGAAGACTAAGACGTGAGGAAAAATGTGGGGAGGAAAATATGAAAATAAAAAACAAAGGAGACCTATAACAACAGGAGGAAGGGCCAAAGGAAGAGAAGTATCTGAGACAGTAGCAGAGCACTATTAAACAATTATCTCAGCTGTTAAGTGAACAAAGAAAGAACAGTCTCCCCGTGCCCTAAGGTAAACTCTGGAACCTCTGTTCTTTGGTGGGGCTATGAAAATTAAACTATATATTGTAAAGTTCACAATATATTGTAAAGGTACATAAACCTGCTATTACATATAATGGTTTGAAGAAAAAAATCAGATTTTACCCAATAACTGGATGTTTGAAGCCAAGCTTCTTGGTGGACTCTTCTATTTCCTTTTCCAGCCACGGTTGTGGGCGGATCAAGTATTTGACAAACTGGGACACCCACCACACTGCAGGATCACCATGGACTCGTACAAGTCGATCTGCGAGGTCTTCTGGTACAGCCAAGGGTAAATATGGAGGACGGGGATGAAGACTGTCTACAATAGGGAGCTCGACCACTTGAACATTTTTGTCCTTCACTTCACCTGACAGAATATCAAAACATATCATCATCACCTACTATATTCTTCACATATCTACCATTCAACAAGAACTCACTCTCAGTGCTTTCATCCTCATAGTAACTCTAAAGAAGTATTATAATTTTCACTTTATAGAGGAAGTTAAGTAACTTACTTAAGGTACCAGAGCAAAATGGATAGAGCTGAATTTCACATGCAGGTTGGTCTGCCTTTCAAGTCTATGGCCTTTTCTAAAAATTTTTATCATGGGCCAGCCCCGTGGCGCACTCAGGAGAGTGCAACGCTGGGAGCACAGCGGCGCTCCGCGCATGGCCGGTGTGCTCACTGGCTGAGCGTGGTGTGGGCGACACTAAGACACCCCTTACCGGTCACGAAAAAGACAAAAAAAAAAAATTTTTTTTTATCATAACATGCGAGCACAGCGGCGCTCCGCGCATGGCCGGTGTGCTCACTGGCTGAGCGTGGTGTGGGCGACACCAAGACACCCCTTACCGGTCACGAAAAAGACAAAAAAAAAAAATTTTTTTTTATCATAACATGCGGTCATATCAACACCTCACAACCTAAGTAAGGATGGTATCCAGCACATAAAGCATATTTAATCAGAGAATAGCCATACTGCCAATAGACACAGCCAGCTAACAAAGTTCTGTTCTTTCATTATTGTTGTTTTAGAATTAGATAATAAAGTGCTCTTAATACTTCCAGCTTGTCATTATAACAAATGGCTCTTGCATTACTTTCCTGACAGAGCACAATGACTCTGAAGATACATAAAGATTCTAATTATAAGTCAAGCATCTATATCTTTTGGAAAAAAAACTAGATAATTCTAAAGTCTTTTTTTCCTTGGCCAAATTATATCATATTTTCAATTATGATAATAATAAAATCTGTGTTGCTTTTTCACCTGGATATTAATTTAAAGTTTGAATGGAGATTAGATCCTAATTTTTACAGATGATGATTACTTTCAGAATTCAACTTCTATGTATCATTGTTACTGCTGCTCTATAAACATTTTTTTTTACTTTTTATTTTAACATTTACTTGTACATATTTATGGGGTACAGTGTGTTGTTTCAATTCATGCATATACTGCACAATGATTCACGTAGGGTAATCTATCAACTTTATAATGTAATGATAAGAACAAACCAAAAAGCCAGCACTCCTAGAACTTATTTTACATATTAAAGACCACACAGTAATAACTAGAAGACACAAAGATACCAGGCAGAGAGTTTTCACTAACATAAAATATACTGAGTTAAATTTTTAATAACAGAAATTATTAACCTAAACATACAAAATAACTCCCGTTAAGATGTTGTCATTGTGCATAATGATTTAGAACACAATCACCAAACCATTAAACAAAGAACACACTTCTAGAAAATAAACCTAGAATATGCTTAAAATGTATTCACTAGAATGAAACAGTCTTCAAATTCTGTTTATTTGTACATATGCGAAATGTTTTAAAATAAATTAAATGATCTGGGAATATAGTCAATCAAACCCACTGCATGGTTATTAGAAAGTCAGCTTGGTATTACTAATTAAAAACCTCTGGTTAATATTCTCTCTGTGATATGTAACACTCATTTCGGGATACTTAGAACAAAATCCTTGAGATATGACATTTGTTGCATAAATAAATGGCAATAAAAATTTACCATCAGTATTGTAGTTCATCTAAGGTGTCAGTTAAGAAAAGAGTGGGGCACCTTTATCAGAAATAAAACTATAATTAAGAGTGTGAGGGGAAATAGTGAAAGGGAGATTATTACTGAAGTTTTAAAGGGTGATAATTGCTTTCCCCCTTATATCTCCTATGAATTTGAAACCAATTGAGAAACAGAGAGAGGAATAGGATGGCAATCAAAATATCAGCTTGATAACCAATGAAGATGAAATGCAGAATATGATTTCTGTGGTTTAGGTTTATGGCTTCATGGACTTTCTAACATTTCCTACCCACATTTGGTTCCTCCTCCCAAACTTACCAGCTGGATAACACTACTTTCCTTCCAAGTAGAAGGGAAATACGGTAAACAGAAAGAGCAAAAAAGAACTTCTGTACTTTTCCCTCCTAAGAAGTGGAATTAATTTCACTCCTGTAGAAACTCTGAGAGTGAAGGATTCATAGTACCTGCCCACCCCCAACCTCCAGGACAATTATCCAGAATTAGAGAGCTATTAAAGGTACCTTGATACCAAATTTAGACTTTCTCTTTAAGATAATGAGAAAGACTGAAAAAGGAGTAACTTTCTCACTACATGATTCAATGTTTATTTTAATATTTTATCAAGGCACTGCCTAAAATGATCTCATATACCACCTAAAATCATCTCTAGTAATCTGTACCAGTTTTTGGAGTTTGGGAAACAAATTTATTTGTACAATCAATATGTTTCAATAAAAAATCAATTAAAAAAATAAACTTTTTCATTTTACAGAGGAAACAGACTAAGAAAAGTTAAACGAACTTCTCAAAGGTAATTCGGCTAATAAAAGGGCCAGGATCAGACCTTAATGTTCACTCCATTGCTTATACTACATCCAATATTCTGAAATCTACATTTTTAAAAATTTTATTTTTACTTGAAAATAACTGTGTATATTTATGAGGTACAATGTGATGTTTCGATCTATGTATACACTGTAGAATGTATTCATTACATCAAGCTAGTTAACATATGCACCACCTTACCAACATCATTTTTTTGTGGTGAGAATGTTAAAAATTTATTCTTTTAGCAATTTTGACATACACAGTACATTATCATTAACTATGGTCACCATACAATGCCATAGATCATTAAAACGTATTCCTGCAGTCTAAATGAAACTTTGTACCCTTTGGTCAACATCTCCTCTTTCCTCATCCTTCCTCCTATCCTCCAGCCTTTGGTAACCATCTTTCTACTCTCTGTCTCTATAAGGCTGACTTTTTTAGATTCTACATATAAGTGAGATCATACAGTATTTGTCTTTTTGTGCCTGGCTTATTTCACTGTTAAAACTGATAAAAAAAAAATTCAGTAAAGTTTCAGATTATAAAATCAGCATACAAAAATCAGTAGTGTTTCTATATGCAAACAAACTACTTGAAAAAGTAATTAACAAAACAATTCTATTTACAAGAGAACCAAAAAATAAAATAAAATACTTGAGTACATTTAACCAAGAAAGTGAAAAATCTGTACACTGAAAACCATAAAACACTGATAAAAGAAATTGAAAAAGACAGAAATAAATGGAAAAATTTTCCATGTGCATGGGCTCGAATAATTAATATTGTTAAAATGTCCATACTACCCAAGGTGCTCTACAGATTCAATGCAATCCCTATCAAAGTTCTAATGTCATTTTTCACAGAAATAGAAAAAATCCTAAAATTCACATGGACCCATAAAAGACTGAATAGCCAAGGCAATCTTGAGCAAAAAGAACAAAGTGAAGGCATCATATTCCCTGGCTTCAAAATATATTATAAAGCTATGATAATCAAAACAGCATGGTACTGGCATAAAAACAGACACATTGACCAATGGAACAGGACAGAAAGCCCAGAAGTAAACCTAAGTATTTATAGTCAACTGATTTTTGGCAAAGGTGCCAAGAACACATGATGGAAAAAGAACAGTCTCTTAAATAAATGCTGCTGGAAAAGTGGATATCCATATGCAGAAGAATGAAATTGGACCATTACCTCACACCATATACAAAAACCAACTCAATACAGATAAAAGACTTAAACATAAGACTCGAAACTGTAAAACTGCTAGAAGAAAACATAGGGAAAAGCTACATGATGTTGGTCTGGGAGATGATTTCTTGGATAGAACTCCAAAAGCACAGGCAACAAAAGCCAAAATGGACAAATGGGATTGTATCAAACTAAAAAGCTTCTGTACAGCAAAGGAAACAACAGAGTGAAGAGACAACCCATGAACTGGAAAAAAATATTTGCAAACCATACATCTGATAAGGGGCTAATATCCAGAACATATAAGGAACTCAACTCAATAGCAAGAAAACAAATAACCCAATTAAAAAATGGGCAAAGGTGGCCAGCTGCCAAAAAATAAGTAAAAAATAAAAATAAAAAATGGCCAAAGGATCTGAAAAGACATTTTTCAAAAGAAGAGATATGAATGGCCAACAGATATATGAAAAAATGCTCACATTTCTAATCATCAGGGAAATGCAAATAAAACCACAATGAGATACTACCTCACACCTGTTAGAATGGCTATCATCAAAAAGACAAATGATAACAAATGTTGGCGAGGATGTGGAGAAAAGGGAACCCTTGTAGGCTGTTGGTGGAAATGTAAATTAGTTCAGCTATTTTGAAACCTACATTTTTTTCAAAAGGCATTTAAGTATGGCACCTTTGATCAAGCAAGAGAGCCCTGCCATTCTATTAAGACTTTAGTGTTCTAAAAAAATGCATTGTATCAACCTTCCAGCAGAGAATGTTTTATATGTATAAATCATACATGTTAGCACTATTCATTTACCAAAAAATTAGTACAGACTAGCCTGGGCTTTAGACAATTGATTGCCCAGTTCAACTTGAATTGATACGAACATTATTAATTATTTTGGGTATCCATTCTCAAGACTATCTCTCTGCTATGGTCTGAGTGTCTGTGTCCCCCACCCCTCCACCCCACTGAATCCATATGTTGAAATCCTAACCCCCAAAGTGATAGTAGTAGGAGGTGGGGACTTGGGAAGGAGGATTCTGCCCTCATGAATGGATTAATACACTTATAAAAGAGACCCCAGAGAGCTTGTTTGTCTTTCCACCATGTGAAAACACAGCAAGAAGGTGCCTCTATGAGGAAGCACGACTTCAGCAGGCAATGAATCTGTTGGTGCCTTGATCTTGGATTTCACAGCCTCCAGAACTGTGAGAAATAAATTTCTGTTCTTTATAACCCACCCAGTTTATGGTATTTTGTTACAGCAGCCCAAACAGACTATT